CTCAGCAAAGACTCCGACACAACCCGGTGGAGGGCTAGTTATCCTTTCCCCCGGGTAAGGTGCAAAAATCTTCACCGAAGGCGGAATCCATACTTGCTCTCGAAGCATCACCACATCGACATCGGTCATAATACTTGGCTCGCCCTCAAAATCGACTGCAGGATCAGACCATTTCCTCACCGGCCTCCTCCAGTGAGGCGCCTCGATTTCGGCCGCATTTCCTTCCACCACGCAATCACCGTCCTCGTCATTAGGTTTGATATCTAAATGGCTCACCAGCATCGGGTCCCACCGATGATATTCAAAAGCAGTTCGACCAATTCTGAGTCATGGTATACCTCCAACGGAACCGACTCGGTGCTAGAAGAACTTGCTACAACCTTACCCTTCCCCTTCGACGCCATCAAATAGAAAGAAAAATAAAGTACAAAGGAAAAAACGACAATCGACTATGAAGCTTACCGAGAAATGAACACGTCGATACTTGCACACCAAGAACAAATCCCAAAATTGCAGAAGAATTACAGTAGTAGTATGTAAGAATTTGAAGATGAAAGCTAAAGTGAAGAAAAGTCGATTAAAAATCCCGGTGCCCTATTTATAAGCCCTAATTTCTGACCGTTAGCATTCTCAATCGACAGCACGTGTAATCGACGTGACCTTTCTTCCCCAAACGGTGCAACGAAGTGGCCGTTATTTTATTAAAGTAGTTGTTACTGTACTTAAGACCATTACGGCGCGACTTTTCACACTATACATTTAATATGTCCGACCGTTACGTTTCTTCAAGTCATCTTAAAGATCGTCCGCGATCTGCCGAAATTCTACCAAGTGTTTTCACCTCGGAAACCGGTTCTCACTTTAGAACAGACGATCCACTTCAGTCACCTTGCACACATCAGATCATCAAGGACGGGCGTTTCCAGACTCCAATTTCCCACCGACTCAAAGCTTCTAGTTGTTTTACAATACCGGCGACCATCACTCCGTATGCCCGCCGATATTGGGGGCCTCTATGTTATCATCCGACTCGGTAAAGCACTATTAAGGGCCTTAAACAGCGTCTTAAGTAAATTTAACCCCAACACTGACGTGACCCAAAGTCACCCCGGTTCGCACGACAAACCGATACAACCACAAAAGACCGAAGTGATCATTACCAGCCGAGGTCGTCCCAAACCGAGGTCAACACAAACCGAGGTCGTTACCTCCTAAGCAGGTGACAAGGCGCCTACACGCCCTCCTCACGAACTACGAGATCCGCTATCATTCAAGCGGGACCCACTAATCCCGCCGCCCATCAAAAAGTAGCTTTATGGAAAAAGCAATGCACGGATCCCGATATGTGTATCAAAAAAGTTACTATAAATAGTGAACTGATAATACTTGTACGGGATTCGATTTTTCTCCCCAAACCGAACTTTTTGATTATTATACACGAAACAGCTCATAGAAGCTTTTCACCTCGGACCGGGGCCATTGTTGAATGTTTCACCCATGCTTTACGTTCGAATCGTTCACTATCGTTAAATAAATTCAGCATTAGATCGTTGTTAAGATTCACACAACAACAACCAAATATAACAATTTTTTTTTCTCTTTCATTAATCACTTCAGGTTTTTAAGGCATATTTTTTTATTTGGAAACCATTTTATGCAATAGTATAAAAATTGGTATTGATACAAATTATTTGTTGTCAACCATAAAATTGCAATTATTTATAAAAAAGTGTAGGAGGTATGTAAATTACCCATATTAATTTGAGTTTTCTTGGACCTTGTAAGTTCACATCGCGTCTTCCAAGCCCGAGCAAAAGAAAGTCGCGACAAATTCACTTCAAGACACATCGTCCGTGGACAACTCTTGAGGGGGCATTTGTAGATTCATGAAATTTGTGGTTAGTAAATGGTGCTACTGGAAATTAATTTATTAAGTATCAAATCATATCTTCTATTTGTATTTTAGAGATTTTCATAAATTTTATTCCTAAAACAAATAGTTAATTAAATTGATATTTTGATATTTTATTTTTGGGCCAATCAAATAATGCGAAATTTCATATCTTATTTCTCTGTAAATAAATTAAACGGTTTTGCTATGGAACCAA